TAAAACAGGGTCTAAACTATATTAAAAGTAGGGTCTGTGTCTAATGCATCCCCACAACACTTGTAAAAGTAACCTGTACAAAATTGAATTAAATTCTATTACATTTTCCTGAGTAGAAATTGGTTGGCTAATGAAAATGATGATATGGGAGGACCATGTTACCTTGGAGTTTCCAAGCCAGAATATCAAATATACCCCAATATATATGTGCAGACTTCAGTGTGACTCAACACTGTAACTATCTTCTACATATTGTTATGTTATAAAATGCACTGGTGACTTTTCTGTCAACTTCAACCAATTTAGGGTCATCTGAAAAGAGGGAACTTCAACTGATCTATCTTTTTATCTTATCATATCTATCTTTTTATCTTATCATATCTATATCCTCCCTTTTTTCTTTTCAAGAATGGATTCAATAATCTACCCTTTTTCCTATCATATCTATATCCTCTTTTTTGGAAACAAAAACCTTGAATCTAATCTCCTTTGCTCAACTTTCTTCCTGACTGTAACCAACATTTTATAACCAATTTCCCTAAACAATGACAAATATCCACAACCCATTGAATGACAAAAGACCACCCACCCCATCTCTTGGGAATATAGGCTTCATATTCTTAAAGTTACTTCCTGCTGTCTGGGGCTGAAGGCATCTTTAGGGGATCCTGAAAAGAAAACTTTGGATTAACTCTCAAACTGTGTCATTTGTTGCCCAGTCTCTGTACAATGGAAAAGTTCAGGGCTTGTCCCAAGTCCCAGCTAGAGTAGTCTGTGAGGCAAATCCTCTTCCCTAATGTAACACATGTCCTGATTTCCACTCAGAGGAACAGATCTTTGAAGTATACCAGCTGATTTAATTCTGTTGTTTTTTTTCTATTATCCAGTTTCTCTCTGCAGCTGTTGTTCCTTTCTCATTAGCATTCAGAAAATTCAAACTTAATAAAGCACTATGCAATCTATTTTGGGTTTTTTTATCATCCATTTCTGTTTATTTAGTATTTCCTTTAGAGTTCGATTTGATCTTTCTATAACTGCCTGCCCTTTAGGGTTGTGTGGTATACTGTAACATGCTTCATATTGTAATAAGCAAAAAACTCTTTCATTTTCTTAGAGACATATGCCAGAGCATTGTCTGTCTTTATTTGTGCAGGTGGCCATGATGGCCATGACTTCTAGAAAATGTGTAATTGCCAAATCAACTTTTTTTTTAACTCAAAGCAGTTGCCCATTGAAAACCTGAATAGGTGTCAATGATGTGGTGTACATATTTTAATTTTCCAAATTCTGCAAAATGGAACATATCCATCTGCCAGATTTCATTCCTTTGAGTACCCTTTGGGTTACTTCTTGCAGGTAGTAGAGTTTGGTTGTATAAAGAATAAGTAGGACATTTCCTTATAATTTCCTTGGCTTGTTGTCATATAATAGAAAATCTTTTTTTTTCAAACCTTTGCTTTTTAATGAAATTCTGAAGCCTTTAGCACATTTCCTATCAATAGTTGATCAATCTAATCATCCTGTGCTAGAGGGCCTGGCAGATCCTTATGGGATCAGATGTGATATATATGTAATGAATCCTGTCCTTGAGTATGTCTTGTAACTGAATAATTAATGAAGTCAATTCTATGTCATCGCATATAAATTCAGCAGTTTCAATATTTAGAACAACTCTGCATATTGTGAATCAGTAACTATGTTGAGAGGTTCTTTATGATCCATTAGCACCATGAGAATAGCATATACTTCTGACTTTTGGACAGAATTATAAGGACTTAGATCCACTTTACTTATATTTTTTGATTTGTAACCTGCCTTTCCTGATTATTTGTATCAGTATAGAATGTAGGGGACCCAGTTATTTGTGTTTTCCTTATGATGTGTGGAAGGATCCAGTTAGTTATCTTTATGAGTTTAATTCTCTTGCTTTGGGGATAATTGTTGTTAACCTCTCCCAAAAATTTACTACAAGCTCTTTGCCAGGGTTTACTGTCTACCCATAATTTGTCAATTTCATCATTAGTAAAAGGTACTATAATTTGTGCAGGATCTATTTCTGCTAATTGATGAAGTCTCAATGTTCCTTTTAGAATCAACTCAGAGATAATTTCTACAAAAGTTTTTAATTTTTTACTTGGTTTATGTGGTAAAAAGATCCATTCTATGATAACATTTTCCCTCTGCATTAAAATTCCTCTAGGGTGATGCTTAGAGGGTAATATGACCAGAATGCAGTTAAGCATTGGATCTATATGATCTACATGTGCCATCTGTAATTTATCTTCCACTAATGCCAATTTTCCAGCAGCCTCAGCTGTTAATAACATGTGACTATTTAAGTCCTTGTCATCATCTAAGGTTTTGTTCAAACTAATCATTTGATTGGGTTTTATTCCAATAATGTGTTGTAGATGGGAAATGTCTCCTAGCAATCTTTGAAAATCATTAGAATATTCAATCCATCTCTCTTAATTTGCACCTTTTGTGGTCTAATTTTTGTAAACCTATTTTATAACCTAAATAATTAATAGAATTTCCTCTTTGTATTTTTTTCAGGGGCAATTTGTAATCCCCAACAAGGCAAAATTTTCTTTACTTTTTCAAACTTTCTAAATTATCTGGCTGTTGGGATTAAAGAAGTGTGCCTGGCTTCTAAGGCTTGTGGTTGATTTTGCTTTTCTGAATCATCAATTAAAGCTTTACTAAATCATAAATAATGTATCATGACACTTCCCCCTCCTCTTCTTCCCTCCTCTCTCTCCTACCTCCTTCCCCCATGCTCCTGATTTACTCTAGAGATCTTGTCCCTTTCCCCTGGGGGTCCTATTTGTTTCCTAGCTTCTCTGGGATTGTGGATTGTAGGCTGGTTATCCTTTGCTCTATGTCTAATATCCACTTTATGAGTGAGTATATACCATGTTTATCTTTATGTGACTGGGTTACCTCACTCAGGATAGTTTCTTCTAGTTCCATCCATTTGTCTGAGAATTTCAAGATGTCGGTGGTTTTGTTGTTGTTGTTTGTTTGCCACCGAGTAGTACTCCACTGTGTGTATGTACCACATTTTCTTTATCTGTTCTGTGGTTGAAGGGCATCTAGGTTGCTTCCAGGTTCTAGCTATTACAAATAATGCTGTTATGAACATAGTTGAACAGGTGTCCTTGTCGTATGAGTGTGTATCCTTTGGGTATATGCCTAAGAGTGGAATTGCTGGGTCTTGAGGTAGACTGATTATCATTTTCCTGGGAAGAAACCACCACACTGAAATCCAAAGTGGCTGTACAAGTTGGCATTCCCACCAGCAATCGAAGAGTGTTCCACTTTCTCCACATGCTTTCCAGAGAAAGCTGTCATTTGGTGTTTTTTATTTTTGCCATTCTAATAGGTGTAAGATGGTATCTCAGAGTTGTTTTGATTTGCATTTCCCTGATGACTAAGGGTGTTGAGCAATTCCTTAAGTGCCTTTCGGCCATTTGAGATTCCTCTGGTGAGGATCTGCACCCCATTTTAAAATAGGATTATTTGGAGTTTTGCTGACTAGCTTCTTGAGTTATTTGTATATTTTGGAGATCAACCCTCTGTCAGATGTGGGATTGGTGAAGAGATTTCTCCATTCTGTAGGCTGCCATTTTGTGTTGTTGACTGTGTCCTTTGCCTTACAAAAGCTTCTCGGTTTCAGAAATCCCATTTATTAAATGTCGATCTCAGTGTCTGTGTTACTGATGTTATGTTCAGGAAGTGGTCTCCTATACCAAAGTGTTCAAGGGTACCTCCCAATTTCTCTTCTAAGAGGTTCAGTGTGGCTGGATTTATGTTGTGGTCATTGATCCATTTGGACTTAAGTTTTGTGCATGGTGATAGAAATGGATCTATCTGCAGTCTTCTACATGACAACATCCAGTTATGCCAGCACCATGTGTTGAAGATGCTTTCTTTTTTCCATTGTATAACTTTAGCTTCCTTGTCAAAAATCAGGTGTTCATTGGTGTATGGGTTAATATCAGGGTCTCCAATTCTATTTCACTGATCTACCTGTCTATTTTTGAGCCAATACCAAGCATTACTATAGCACTATCATAAGCTTGAAGGCAGGGTTGGTTATGCTTCAGGAAGTTTCTTTATTGTACAGGATTATTTTGGCTATCCTGGGTATTTTGTTTCTCCATATAAAGTTGAGTATTGTTCTTTCAAGTTCTGTGAAGAATTGTGCTGTGAAGATGTGCCACCCAGGAAAGGGCACATCTCCTAAGAGTATCAATAAAACATGGTATATCAAGTGGCAGTAGGAATAAGCACCTCCCCATGTATTAAAGTTAGGGCAAAGTGGCCCAGTATGAGAAGTATGGTCCCAAAAGCCAGTAAAAGAATCAGAGACAACCCCTGTTCCTGCTGTTAGGAGACCAAGCTCCATAACTGTAGCATATATGCAGAGTGCCTAGGTCAGTCTCATACAGGCTCCCTTGGTTGTCAGTTCATTCTCTGTGAGCCCCTGTAAGCCCAGGTTAGTTGATTCTGTGAGTTTAGGTTAGCTGACTGTGTGAGCCTTCCATATTGTTCTTGACCCCTCTGGCTCCTGCACTCCTTCCTCCTCCTCCTCCTCCTCTTCCTCCTCCTCCTCCTCCTCCTCCTCCTCCCTCCTCTCCCTCCTCCTCCTTCTTGGCATTACCAACCTCCACCTAATGTCTGTCTGTGGGTCTCTACATCTTCCCGCATCAGTTGCTGGATGATGCCTCTTGGATGACAATTAGGTCAAGCACCAATCTGGTCCCCGGAGATGGCCAGTTCAGGCTACTTATCCACAACTGTTAGGAGTCTAAGCTGGGTTTATCCCATAGAGGAGTCAGGTCTCTTAAGGAAATAATATCTGAGGAAATATAGACTCCCTGTATTTCCAAATGTGAGAAAAAACACGAAATATTTGTATTTCTGAATATTATGTATTTCATTTAAGAAGATAATATCTAGTATTCTAACTTTTTCATTTATCTTCCCTTGGCTAGGTGGAGTTGGCTCCTGATATTGGCCTTCAGTACAAAGGAGAGCTAACAGTTGTTTTACGTTACATTCCTCCAGAAGAGAACTCTATATTCCCAGTAGGACAACCTCAAGGTAGGTTTAAAAATCAATAGCTCTGATCAGTGACATTCTCTTTGGACAACTGTATAAGTGATGTTGAGGTTTGGTTGGACTGTGTTACTTTTCAAGTACAATAATAAAATGGGGTCAGGGGTCTTTTTAGAGTTGAGAAGTACATGCTATAATGTATGTGAAGAAGAAAAGTACAGGACAAAAATCCATACTTAGAAACCAGCCCTGATGGAGAGATTATTTCCTGTCAGTCCAAGAGAGACAGAATCTTTCCCCCTGTGGGAGAGATATGTTGTGTGAGGGGTTTCTAGGTAGCTGCTCTGTGGACTCATTCACAAGTACTCAGGGAGTCTAAAGAAGAAATAGCTGGCATAAAACATAGAAAACAAAGGGAAAGTCCAGATGAAATCAATTTGAAATCTCTCTTTTCTTCCTCCTTCCATCAACTTCTTTGGCAGCTTCCTTTATTTTCCCATTCATGGTTACCGTCTTTAGTGGTTCCCCATGGAAGTAACTCATCTCTTAGTCTGAATTTTCTCACTTCACTTGTCTGTAGTTCTTTGTGTAGGGTTCAAGTCTCATAATCTTTCTCCCATCTAGTTTGGCAATACCATATGGCCAGCTCTGAAAGCATACATACAAATACCATTATTCAGACTGAAATATAGTTAGGAATACACAGAGAGAGAGAGAGAGGGGAGGCTGGTTATGCGAAAATTAAGTCTTTGTAGGTGTTCTTTGGAAATTGTGAAGTGGAATCTCTGATATCCTTTACCTCCTCTCTGCTGGTTCATGCAGGAAAGAAGACCTTTAAAAAGGGGAAGAAACAAGAGTCAGCTGTCATCTCTGGGGGAATACTTGAAGTGTTCATCAAGGAAGCAAAGAATCTGACCTCAGTCAAATCGGGAGGCTCTGACAGCTTTGTGAAGGGGTAACTGTGTTTTAGCTCATCACAGATAACACACTGGCTGTTGAAAGGAACTGTGATCCACTAGACAATGGTAGCTGTGAGAGGCCTGCGTTCTGCTTATTGCATGTACTTTGGAAAAGCTACACTTTAGTGCTCACTCTCTTACATCTAAAGCAACACCAGAGGGGGCAGAGTTGCTGTTCTAGCTTTCACTGTGTCTCCAGCATATTTCTGGAAGGCCACTGTGAGGACTACTTTCATCCTGAAGGTCAGAAGTCTTTCCCAGGAGATGCGTTTCTCCAAAGAGAAGAAAGCATGGTTTTCTGTGTATAATTTACTTTTATTTTTGCTTTGTTACCATTTGGTACAACAAGCAAAATACTAAATACTTGCTTGTTTACTCTCTTGGGAAAATTGTAAAATGCAGAGAAATTTTAGCATCTTCCCTGGAGAGTCTGTGAGATAGGCTCCAGGATCCGAGAGATATATGATCTCTCTCTCTCTCTCTCTCTCTCTCTCTCTCTCTCTCTCTCTCTCTCTCTCTCTCTCTCTCTCTCTCTCTCTCTCTCTCTCTCTCTCTCTCTCTCTCTCTCTCTCTCTCTCTCTCTCTCTCTGTGTGTGTGTGTGTGTGTGTGTGTGTGTGTGTGTGTGTTGTGTGTTGCCATATGGAGCAAATGTCAGTTTCTGGAAGGAATAGTGCCCTTGAAATGGATATTCTTGCTCATTCTAAGCAATCCAAGTAGCAAATCTCTCTCATTTCTGACTATTGTAGATATTTTTCTCATGCAACTAGAAGAACTTGCCTAAACCAATATTTTCCCATTCATTCAAGCAAACAATCAAATGTATATGCACCAAGCATTAGATGCTTCTCTTTGAAAATAGATATGATAGCTGACCTCACAGAGCACCTTGAAACATATGAAGTAAAGAAAGTTCCCATGATGCCAAGCCTTGGCATGATCTTTGAAGAGTTATCCAGTCCTGATGGTAGTGCCTAAAATCCTACTACTGGGGATACTGAATCAGGGAGAAGACAAGTTTGTGTCCATCCTGGCTGGGTTATATGTAGCAAGTGCCAGGCGAGCATGGGGCAGAGGATGAGATTCTGTTGTTTTTTTTTCTCATGTACAAACTTTTAAAATTTAATTTAATGTTTTTTTCATTTATTTTACATACTAACAACAGTTTCCCCTCCCTCCCTTATACTGTTTCTGCCCACTTCCCATCTACACCCCTCCCCATCCTTTCCTCCTCCAGATCCATTCAGGAAGGGGAAGGCCTCTCATGGGTGTGTTTTCCCACAAGGAAATGAAGCCTACCTTTATTCTCGTATGTTTTAAATTCGCTAAACCATATATTGAAGAGAATAAGATGACTAGGGTTTCCCCATCGGTGAATTGTGTTCTTTAGCATAAATGAAACTCTTTCTTTGAATCATGCTGCTGAAGTTCACCTCAGGAGCCCCAGCACCCAGTTTAGGACTCTGCTCCTTACTGTCTTGTATGGTAAGAATATTGTCCCTGGCCTATTATGACTATCCAAGGATAACTTAATATTGTCAGGAACAGTTTTTACATTCTCTTGCTAAGAATTTATGAAGCACAAATAATAAAGAACAGTACTTCATTCTATTTTTTAAAAAACTAACTTTGCAGTAAATTCTCTTATGGATACTTAAATTTTAAGCCAATTTAAAAATTATCCAAGGAGTTTGGGAGATGGTTCAGTGGTTAAAAGCACTGGCTGCTCTTGCAGAGGATCCAAGATCAATTCCCAACACCCACATGGCAGCTCACAACTGTATGTAATTCCAGTTCCAGGAAATCTGATACCCTCTTCTGATGTCCATAGGCACTGTTTGCACATGGTACATAGAAATACATGCAGAGAAAACGCTCATATACATAAAAGGAAAGAAAGAAAGAAAGAAAGAAAGAAAGAAAGAAAGAAAGACGCTTAAAAATGAACTGAGATCTTTTAAAAGAGCCAGAGAGAAAGCAAGAACAGATATATAGGTAATGCTATAAAATGTGTACATTATATAAATACATGCTATCTTCTTATGAACTGAAATATATGTGGCTTAAGAAAGACATAAGGGTCTACAAGATGTCTCAGCAAGTAAAGAGAAATAGGCTTGCCACCAAAACTAATGAACCAATTTTGATAACTGGAACCCACCTGGTAAGAAAATGACAACTGACTCTTGAGGGTTAAACTTTGGTCTCCACAACTATACCATGGCATGCCCACAGACATACATACATACACTCAATATGAATTAAATATTTAAAAAATTAAAAAGACATTTTCTCTTACATGTAAACAATGACAGAAGGTAATTTATCTAGGGTAGAAGTGGAAGCATCATGATTATCAGGGACAATTTTTTTCTACATCATTATAGTATCTTCACCAAGGACAAGGATATCTAGCTATGCAGAATTCATCTATCCTATGCAAATCCAGGCTCATAGAAAACTTCCCATAACTTTTTCGTAGAGCTAATTCTTGTATTCTATTGCTCAGTTCTGTGAGTTTAGGAGTTGGAAAATAGCCTTGTGGTCTTCATTCTGGGAAAATGTGTGACCAAATTTATAACCATGGATTTTTAATGATGGAAATTTTAAAAATTGGAATAAAATAAAATGTAAGATGGTAATAATAAAAAACTAGGAATTCTAAAAAAGAGTAAGTGTATAATGGATATCAACAGATAATAGTGTTCTCTGATTAATTTATTAATTTTTTACCTCTTTAATGGTAGTGCTGGGATCAAACCCAGGTCCTTGCTAGGTAATTACTCTATCACTGTCCAATACTTACTAGTGCTGACCAATATAGTATGAAATACTGCATGACCAAATTATTGTCTTTATCACTGAAACATTTACTTGTAGTTTTCTTTTCCTTCTTTCTTATTTTTTTCTCTTTTGATTAAAATTAGAAACAAGCTTGTTTTACATGTCAAACCCAGTTTCCTCTACCTCCCTTCCTCCCCTGCCCCCTACTGACGCCTACCCATCCCCTTTCTGCTCCCCAGGGAGAGAGAGGCCTTCTGTGGTGGATCTTCAAAGTCTGTCATATCATTTGGAGCAGGGCCTAGGCCCTCCCCCATGTATCTAGGCTGAGAGAGTATCCCTCCATGGGGAATGGGCTCCCAAAGTCCATTTATATACTAGGGATAAATACTGATCCACTACCAGAGGCCCCATAGAGTGCCCAGGACTTCTATCTGGCACCCACATTCAGGGAGTCTGGATTGGTCCTATGCTGGTTTCCCGGGTATTAGTCTGGGGTCCATGAGCTCCCCCTTGTTCAGGTCAGCTGTTTCTGCGGGTTTCTCCAGCCTGATCTTGACTCCTTTGCTCGTCACTCTTCCCTCTCTGCAACTGGATTCCAGGAATTCAGCTCAGTGTTTAGCTGTGGGTGTCTGCTTCTGCTTCCATCAGCTACTGGATAAAGGCTGTAGGATGGCATTTAAGGTAGCCTCTCCACTATTGCTTAGATTGTTAGATGGGGTCATCCTTGTAGATTTCTGGACATTTACCTAGTGCCAGATTTCTCTTTAAACCTATAATCGCTCGCTCTATTATGGTATCTCTTTTCTTGCTCTCCTCTATTCTTCCCCTGACTCAATCTTTCTGCTCCCTCATGTCCTCCTCTCCCCTCCTCTTCTCCCCTTCTCTTTCTCCTAACTCCCTCTCCCCTCCCCGCATGCTCCCAATTTTCTCAGGAGACCTTGTCCATTTTCCTTTCTCTGGGGAACCATGTATGTCTCTCTTAGGGTTCTCCTTGTTTCCTAATTTCTCTGGTGGTGTGGACTGTAGGTGGGTAATACATTGCTCTATGTCTAAAATCCATATGAGTGAGTACATACCATGTTTGTCTTTTTGTGACAGGATTACCTAACTCAGGATAGTTTCTTTTAGTTCCATCCAATTGCCTGCAAATTTCAAGATTACATTGTTATTGTTTTGTTTTGCTGAGTAATACTCCATTGTGTAAACTGTACCACATTTTCTTTATCCATTCTTCAGTTGAGGGGCATCTAGGTTGCTTCCACGTTCTGGCTATTACAAAAAATGCTGCTATGAACATAGTTGAACAGATGTCCTTGTTGTAGGAATGTGCATCTGTTGGGTATATGCCTAAGAGTGGAATTGCTGGATCTTGTGGTAGACTGATTCTCATTTTCCTGAGGAACCACCATACTGATATTCAAAGTGGCTGTATGAGTTTGCATTCCCACCAGCACTGGGGGAGTGGTCCCCTTTCTCCACATCCTCTCCACTACAAACTTTCCTTGGTGTTTTTTATTTTAGCCATTCTTACAGGAATAAGGTGATATCTCAAAGTTGTTTTGATTTGTATTTCCCTTAAGGCTAAGGATGTTGAGCCTTTCACAAGTAGCATTCAGCCATTTTAGATTACTCTATTGAGAATTCTCTATTCTGTACCTCACTTTAAAATTGGATTATTTAGTGTTTTGGAGACTACTTTCTTGAGTTCTTTGTATATTTTGGAAATCAGCTCTTTGTCAGATGTGATGTTAGTGAATATCTTTTCCCATTCTGTGGGCTGTCGTTATGTCTTGTTGACTGTGTCCTTTGCCTTACAGAAGCTTCTCAGTTTCAGGAGGTCCCATTTATTAATTGTTGCTCTCATTGTCTGTGCTACTGGCGTTATGTTCAGGAAGTGATCTCTTGTACCAATATATTCAAGAGTACCTCCTACTTTCTCTTCTAAGAGGCTCAGTGTGGCTGGATTTATGTTGAGGTCTTTGATCCATTTGGATTTAAGTTTTCTGCATGGTGATAGATACGGATCTAGCTACAGTCTTCTACATGCCAGCATCCAGTTATGCCAGCACCATTTGTTGAAGATGCTTTCTTTTTTTCATTGTATAATTTTAGCTTCTTTGTCAAAAATCAGGTGTTTGTAGGAGTTTGGGTTAATATCAGGGTTTTCAATTCAATTCCATTGGTCTATTTTTGTGCCACTACCAAGCTGTTTTCAGGATTATAGCTCTATAA